TGAACACTCCAATATAAACCTATACACCTATGAACATCTGATCTTTGACAAAGGAACTTAAATTATACAATGGAAAAAAGAAATCTACTTCAACAAATGGTGAAAACAAGGTTATTTAAATCAACATGATGAAGGCTCATTTGAACTCATAGCCTGAGGCAGCATGCATAGGGATAACATGCATCTCTACCAGGTTTCCTGGGTGTATTTTATGGTTTCCAGTTATTTAAAAATATGATTCCTGAGTGTGTTAACAGTGGGTCTAATGTCCTCTTCTGGCCTGAAATATTTGCTAATTACATAGGCTTCTCATTACCACCCAGTTTACATTGCACTCTTCCTTCATACCTTCCTTGCCTAAATTGACACTTGATTTTCATGTAGAGCACTCAATGTCATGTAGCATTTCAACTATCTTGAGTAGTATTTGTCATTGTCCATCTTTCATGACTATGCTATCTGTAAGAAAGGATTCAGAATATTTGCCAGTTCTTAAATTGTTATTTATGTACTTAGTTTCTTATTTAATCACTGTGTGTGTGCATATGCCACAGCTCAAAGTACAACTTGTGTGTCTGTTCTTGCTTTTGACTTAGTTGGTCCCAGGTATTAATCTTACATTGTCAGAATTGTAGGTAAGCAGCTTTACCTGTTGTACCATCTTCCTGGTGCCAGTCTTTTTCTTGTAAACTAAAAGCAACAGAGAGACACATGCTAGGTGTCTAATCATGCCCATAGAAGCTGTTAATAAAAGTTTCTCATAATTCACTTCTGAAAGACAGACCACCACTTGTGTTTTTGGCTAAGACCAGTTGTTATACCCAGCAGCTCACTCCTACCTACCTGTTCTACTCTTCCCTCTTCAAGGTATTTCCCATGACTGAAAAGTAGTCTCACAAGAAGTTAAGACCTCAAGTTGTCAAGATACATCAAACTTAATCTCACTTCCTAGACCTCAGTGCCCTGTCTCCCGTATCATTACCCCCTGGTGTTTTCAGCCATCTCAGATGGTGTTTTCCTATGTAACCCCCTTGCCACACCCAATAATCTGTCCCTAATAACTCTAATCCCTTTCAGGGATTTGAACACAATGCAGGAATTTATCTGAGATGACTCTAATCTCCATGCATACACTGTCACTGTACTAAGGGTGAAATGATAATCACCTCCCAGAAGTATGACCTCATTGTGTACCAAACCTTTATGTCAGGTATAAAAGACCTTCCTGTGCACATACTCTGAGTGTGACTGAGGTGGTTACTGTCTCAGTGAACATACTTGAACATACTTGGTAAGTTGTCCCCTTCTTTTCTGATAGATATTTTTTCCTCTGGAAATGCCGTAAGAAATACTGTGGAGAACCACAAAAATATGACTCATGTTCTACCCATATTTTCCAGAACTGTCCAGGAAACCACAGGGTTACATGGTTCATTTATTTTAGCCTACATGTGTGCAATTCAGTTAGAACAGCTAAAACATTTGTGGTAGCATTCTGTCTTGAGTTGGAACATGCTTCTGAGTGTTTTCTGTAAGAACCACACAACTAGGCACTCTCCTTTCTTACTGGCCTTTAGTAACAGAATGAATCTTTTTATTCATTAATTTCATTTTATGTTTCCTTCAAAAATGTGATTAAAATGTCATTAAAATTGACTAAGGCATTTCCAGGATTCTAGGTCAGGAAGAATTAGAGTCTTTAGATAAACTACCTGTGACTCTAACATGTCACCAATGTGACAGTGGTTTACTAGCTCTCCATTCCCTGTATCCCTCTCCTCTTCAGTGGGTTTCCAAGGCTGTCAGCCAATCCAGTGTCCTGACAGTGGACACAGGGTCTGCTCCCAAACAGCACCCCTGAGAAGGAACATTTTCCTGTCCTTATTATAGAACTAAGATGTGTCCAGCTTATTCCTTGCTTGTGTCTCCACAGGGAGCATTTTCACACAGAAAAGGAGGGAGAGGTTTGTGAATGCCTACAGTTGTTAAATGACACAGTGATGTGGGATCTTATCAGGTCCAGGTTTGAGCTCGTGTCTTGCTTTGGTGTGTTACTTTAGTGCACACACATCATTCCTCAGCACATTATGGTAAAATTTTTGTACACACTACTTGAGTGTTTTATTCTCATGCTCCCCTTTGTCCCATTGTCCATAGCACTGGAAATAATCTTTGCTGTCAAATATACAAAATAGTAAGGGTTTTTGCAGTGCCAGGAGTTGATCTTGTATCCTTGTGCATGCTGTATAAGTATTCTACCTTCAAGCTACATTCCTTACTCTTTAGGAAATCCTATTGCAAGTATATTTTAATTTTAGCATTTCCTATTTATCTCCTGTATCACTTATCAAGCTTGTAGTACTTTCCAAAATCTAATGACTTATGGAAATTGTTAGTATAATAACAGTAACTTTTTCCCATACAGGGTTTCTCTGTAGCTTTTGAGTCTTTCGTGGAATTTATTTTGTAGAGCATGTTGGCCTCGAACTCACGGATATCCTCCTGTCTCTGCCTGCTTAGTGCTGGGATTAAAGGTTTGAAACACCACTACCCAACTAGTAGCAGTAGTTTTTAAACACATGAAAATTTCTTACAAAAATACTGTTTGTAAAGTTGTTTGTTTGTATTTATTGATTTTCATTTTATGGGTATTATGTTTTGACTGCATGTATATCTGTGTAACATCTGTGTTCTGAGTGCCCATGGATGTCAGAAGAGGTCATTGTAGCCTCTTGAACTAGAGTTCTGAATGGTTGTGACCTACTGGTTGATTGCAGGTATCTGAAGTTGGACCTCTGAAGGGACAACTGTGCTCTTAACTACTGTCTAATCTCTTGGTCGCTAACTACAGTTCTTTCTTTAAAAAATCATTTTGTGTTTGTTATTGAATCACATCATTTCTGCTAAGGTTTTTCTCCCTCCCAACCATGTACGGTGATCACTCTCCTTCAAATTCATGAACTCTTTCTGTCTTCTTTTGAAGAAGGCGAATTTGATGTAAACATTACATTTTAGGTGATGTTTTTCTATTATTTTTCTTTGGTGGGGAGTGAATGCTGCTTTCCTCGTTCATGTTTTTTGAGACATGGATTCACTGTATAGTCTTGGATAGACACAAGGTGCTGTGTCACCCAGGCTAGTCTTTATCTCAGAGATTCACTAGCCTCTGCCTTCTAAGTGGTAAGATTAAAGGTGCTCTCCAATATTGCTGTCTGGCTAATTTTTGTTAACCATTAGGTGTTTATGAGTGATATGTCATATGGATTTTAGTATTATATGTGTTTTAGAAAAATTTAATTTTAGCATTTTAATATACTTTATTTCTTAACATTTTTGCCTGTGTTCATTTGTGTGTATCTATCTGTGGATTTGAATATGTAAGTGCAATGCCTATGAAATCCAGAGGAGTGCATTGGATTCCTAGGAACTGGAGTTACAGGAGGTGGTGAACTGCCCAAGGTAGGTGCTGGAAATTGAACCTGGATCCTCTGACTGAGCATGAAGTGCTCTTGGCAAATGAGTAATCACTCAAGCCCCGATTTTACATTTTAGTTTATTTGTGTTCATGTATGTATGTGAGCATGTGCCATGTTTGGAATGCGACAGTCAGAAATAAACTTATAGAAATTTATTCTCCTTTTTTGAATGTATGGATCCCATAGAATACACTGAGTTTGGCAGCCTTGACAGCAAGAACATTGTTTGCTGAGCAATCTCAGCAGTGCCTCAAATGTACTTCTAATCTAAGCAAGAAGTATGATAGACTGCAGTGACCCAGGTTTGTGTTGTCTTTTTCAAATTGTTTGCAGGCTCACACATGGGATACTTTCACTTTAGATTACTATTTATTTTTATTTGTGTGGTGAGTGTTTGCCTGCATGAGTTTATGTGCACCTCGTTCATTCAGCAGCTCAGGACATTGGATCTCCTGGAACTGGAGTTACATCCAGTTTTGAGCCACCTTGTGAATACTGGAAATCTCATCAGTCCTCTGCAAGAGCAGTCATTTCCCTTAACCACCCAGCTAGCTCTCTACCACCTTGCCATAATTAATTTTAGAGACTATGGTTTATTCTGACCTTTTAGAAGCACACGAATAGAGGTGCATACTTGCAATCTATAATTTCAATGTTTTGTAAATAACGTTGTTTCCTCAAAGGGAAACAGCAAACAGGGCTTCCTCATCAGGACAGGGCCAGGTTATTCAATTTTCGAGTGACTGAGTGGAGAGCTTCCAGTTTCTGTGGATATCAGTAATGCTGTAAGGATTCCCTAGCATTTACAAATTATGGGTTCGTTTTTATATAGAGACTGAATTATTATTTTCTGCCTGCATGTAAGTGTGCATAATAGAAGATGGCACCAGATCTCATTTTAGATGACTGTGAACCATATTGTGGCTGCTGGATATTAAATTCAGGACCTCAGAAAGAACAGCCAGTGCTCCTAACAGAGCCATCTCTACTATCCCCCAAATGATGTGTTCCTAGTTTACATCTAGAATGTGTTTTGTGAGAAAATATATTTATAGTTGTCTTAAGACAATGTATCCATTGCTTTTCTGTTGCTGTGATAAAATACTAGGAGTAGCTGCCATTTAGAGGAGAAAAGTGTTTATATTCTCTTTTTGGTGCACAGGAACAGAGTATGTCAAGGGGTGGAGGTAGGAGTCAGGGCAACAGTCAGGGAAAGCACTGAGGGAGGAGAAGGAAAATGTTTGATCACGTGTTCATGCACACAGGAAGAAGAAAGAGAACAGCAAGTGGGGTCAGGCTGTCCACCTTCAAATTTGGTACCCTCCCTCCTAGAGATTAACTGAATTCAGTAAGGCTGTACCTCCTGAAGGTTCCATAAGCTTCCCAAACAACAACACCAATTAGGAGGAACTGTACAGATATCATAGTCTGTGGAGGACATTTCTCATTCGAACAACAACAAGTAACAGTCTGTTTCTGAATTTCACTGACTCAAATAAGGAGAATGCCCAGCACCTCCTAGAAATGGACGCATGGGTTTCCATTAACTTAAACTGGGGAATGATGTTCCTCATGCAGACCACTGCTGGGATCCTAGCCAACTCCTTCCTTTTTCATCTCTATAACTTTCCACTGTTCACTGCACAAGTGTTGAGACCCACAAACCTGATTCTCAATCAGCTGGTCATATCAAACAATCTGGTTCTTTTCTCCAAAGGGATCCCTCAGACTGTGGCCACGTTTGGGTTGACATCTTCCCTGGGGGAGTCTGGTTGCAAATTTATCCTGTACTTACACAGAGTGGCCAGAGGGGTCTCCCTGAGCACCACCTCCCTCCTCAGTGGCTTTCAGGCTGTTAAGCTTCACTCAGATACTTCTGAGTGGCTGAACCTCAGAACCAGATCCTCAAAGTGCATTGGTGCCTGCTGTTTCCTTTGCTGGATCCCACAGCTTGTGCTCAACATCCCTGTTTCCATGACTAAAACTGGTCCCCCAAATAGAAAAAATCTGAGTGCTAATGGAATCTATAGATACTGTTCCTCAACCAGGCCTGAAAGACTGACTTTCTTAATAAAAGCAGCGATTTTATCCCTAAGTGATATTCTGTGTCTGGTCATCATGGCCTGGGCCAGTGGTTCCATGGTCCTTGTTCTGCATAAGCACAAGCATCGCGTCCAGCACATCCATAGCCACAGCCTCTCCCCAAGACCTTCCCATGAGGACAGAGCCACACGAACCATTCTGATCCTGGTGACCATGTTTCTCTCCTTTTACTCACTAGCTTCCCTCTTATCTCTTTGGATAACCCAGACTGTGAACCCAAGCCATTGGCTGCTGAATATCACTGTGTTATTGTCCCTGGGCTTCCCAGCACTCAGTCCATTCGTGTTCAATTTCAATTATATCCGTGTCCTTCCCTTTTGCTCTGTGGTATGCACAAAGAAAGCAAACCATCCAACTATGGTCTCTGAGTTTGGAGGTTCCTCCAGTTCACGTCAACTTTAATATAATTAACTTTTCTCAATATATGTAGGCACACATGCTTGTTATCATGCTTGTTTCTCTGTAACAAGTTTTGGTTTTAGTTAATAAAAATGATAATTATTGCTTCATATTTCTCGTTAGACTCTCCAAAAGTGAATGTGGTATAAAAACCTAAAAAAATGACTGTTCTCTCTTTAAAAGGTCCCATCTATTTACACACCAAATGTCTACATAATTTTTTATGATCTATGTAACCTATTTAAATTATATATCATCCTCATAACTTTAATGATTCAGGAAATATGCTGACCCTGCCCCCTGACAATGGGCATGGTACACACACCAGCATTCCTGCAGATACCTAGACAGCTCAAAGGGCTCTGTCTTGTCTGGCTCCATCATGCAGTAGGTACCTGTGTAAGGACTCTTGGCATTTGCAGGCTATCCCTTTTAATTGAGTGCCTCCCACCTGTTCGCTCATTCACTTTCCTTTCCTCATCCATCCGTGTTTCTCTTCCCCTTCCTCTTCCATCTCTGTTCCTGGTTGGCCAACACGTATGCTTCCCTTTGCTCCCTTTCCCTTATAAACTCCACTAAGGTTTTGTTGAGGTTTGTGGTTTGTGTTTCATTGCTGGAAGCTGAAGTGAAACAAGAATATTAATTACCCTCTATATAAAATCTGTATAATACATGATCCCATATGATTACCCTATAAATCTCTAAAGTTTGCACTCTGAAGACTGAGGCCATTACACTTGGAATTCAAGTACACCTTCAGTTAGATCTCACTTAGATCTCAGTCTAGGTTACATGATTCACTGTATTTAAAAGCCTTACCGTTCAATTCAGTAATTCCTTGCTGTGATGGCACGCATCTGTACTTCCAGCTCTCCAAAGAAAGAAACAGAAGATTCAGGAATTTAAGGTCATTCTGAGTTATACATTGAATTCAAGGCCAGCTTAAGCTACTAGAAACACTGTCTCAAGATACAAGCAAGCAAACACACAAAAACATTGCCGAAATTCACCGATCCCACTCTAATCCAGATGATTGAAAGAGAGGACCCAAGCAGAGTTCATAGGGTTGTCTCAGTAGCCAGGAGCTGGAAAACTACTGAAATTGCAAGGAAGGAAGTATAGATAACACATTTGTATTCATGTGGAATTCATGAACTGATATTAATCTAAGCACAACCAATATGTAGATTTGATAGATGGTATCTACTCAAATGAAGTTGTAGCCTCATCTGTGGGTTCAGCAGAACTGAGAAGAACAGGAATTCTCACATCAGTGTTTAGTGGACACAGTTCCTTTCCTGCATGATGTAAAAAATTCAAGGTAGAAGGCCTGCGATGACCCTACAGTAAAAAGAATGTACACTTAAGTCAACTCAGGTTGAATGAAATTGGCCAAGTATCACATTTCATTTTATCTATATTTTATCACAACTAAAATGCCTGCAATGAGTAAAAATCAATCAAAATGTAATCACCTGTTGCAGAGAGACTCGCTGCCTATTCACAGCAATATATAGTGAAACTCTTATGAAGGTCTTTCGATACAAGTGAAACCATTGTCACAACTCCATTACTGCAGAAACTGCTGCCCAGTTTTTGACCATTGATTTATTGATGATGTTGGAGGAGAGATAGAAGTCTCATTTTTTCCTCTGGCTTCAGCTTTCCTCACAGGTCAGTGTGAGTGCAGCCTGTGGGGATACAAAGCTGCCATTCTGCAATCCCCTGTGTTCTGTTTTTAGCTTTCCCTCTTGTTGGCATCTTCTCCGTGTTCCACTCATGTACATGTCTGCTTTTGTGCCGATTACCATGATGTCTCTTCCTCTCTTAGGTAACTCTGAAAGCTTGACATTGTCAATGTTAATCCTTCCAACACTGATCTGTTTATTCAGGATTCCTTTGATAACTCAGGAATTTCTCTGTTTCCATGTGAATTTTAGATTTTTTTCTTGTTTCTGTGAAGATTGTTATGCTGATATTTTAAATTAGGATTGCATTGAGTCTGTTACTTTATTTTGGTAGTAGGGTCATTTTCATACTACTTTTCCACCACTCCAACGGAGGTATTCTCACCTTGTAGCATCTTTCTCTGCCTCTTTCTGCTGAGATTTAAAATGTCCTGTTAGAGTCTTTCATACCCTTGGTTAGGATTATTCCTAGAATAACAGAAGCCCAGGAACACAGAAGCCATGTTTAACAAGATGGATCAGCCAAAAGATAGAAAGGGAAAACCATCGATAATTGTTGAAGATGGATCTCAATATATATTCCCAGGAATGTTGTCAAGAGGATACGGATGTAGCTTTATTTGATTATATTTTACATTCTCAGGAGTTCCCCTAAGGGATTCCTACTCTTGCTGAACTGAGAAGTTGCTCTATAGGCCTAAAATGAATGTTAGGACTAGTTTGCATGATAAAGACATGTTTTGTTTATTTTTTGTTGGGTTTTTTGTTTGCTTGTTTGAAACAGGATATATCTGTGCCGCAGCTCCATCTGTCCCAGAACTGGCTTTGTAGACCGGCTCGCCTCAAACTCACAGAGATTCCATGTCTCTGTCTCTTGAGTGCTGGGATTAAAGGCATGCATCACTACCATCCAGTCAATAAAAGGACCCTTTTAAATATATATATGAGAGGTAATACGAAAAAATGTTGCTCAAAACTGTGTGATAGACAGAGATAAGGGAACAAAGAGAAGGAATAAGAACAGTAGGGAGTCATTTTAATATTTATCTTTAGGTTTGATATAAACTCTACAAAAGTTTTAACTGTCATGTTATCTAAGTTAACTCTCACATTGCTTATTTGAAATTTATTATGAATTGGAGTGTTGTCAGGCTTTTTACAGATCCTTTTATGCTTTAATGAAAGCAGGTAGTTTGATAGTTAAGCATTATTGCATAGGACTTTGTTAAGCATTCAAAATAACCCTATTTGGAGGCAGTCAATGTTTCTCATCTCCCCCAAATACTTTTAAATCACTTATTAAAACACATAAAGATAGCTAGAATAACAGATGATGGATTTTCTCCAAACTTTTTCTCCCTTTATGAAACCTTGGTGTGGTGTGTGTGTGTTTCTCTTCTGAAAAATTGCCTGTCTATGCCAGCTAGCAAATATGAGTTTTGCATCAGTTATTATTTTTGGTACAATATATTTTGATCATGCTTTCCCTCCCATATCCTCCAAATAGCCTTTTTCTCCATGTCTTTCATTAAAACAAATGAAAAAAACAAAAACAAACAAGAAGCATAATCACACACACACACACACACACACACAATTCCACCAAAACAGAAATAAAGAAAATCAATGAAAATATACAAATAAGACAAAAGATGCCCAAAGAAAACAAAGTAACTCAAAAAATGTATAACACACTGATGAATTTATTTTTTGTTGGCCAGCAACTCCTGATGTGAAGCCTGTCCTGAAGTGAGGTCAATACACACAGTGAGACCCTGTGGTTGTTTGAATGACAGTGGCCATCACAGGCTCATAGCTTCAAATACTTGGTCATCAGAGAGTAACATTATTTGAAAGGATTTGGAGGTATGGTCTTGTTGGAGGAAGTGTTACTGGAGATGTGCTTTGGGGTTCCAAAAAATGGAAAGCTGTGTATTCCACACAGGTTTCTGTGGTTTGATCAAGCAAGACCTCCTAAAACAGTGTCCCAGACAATCCAGCATCTAAAACATCTGTGACGATACAGCTCTACAGACCACAAAAACAAGGACTTGGCCAAGTTTCTTGGTTTTGTCATGATCCCCATGGTATGGACCGTGCCCCCAACCAGCAGAAAGCTGTTTGGAATAAACACCCAAATTCCCAAATAATGTTTATCAATTTTTGTTTTCATTACATGGGGTTGGTTATAAATGGTTAATGATTAAAACCAATCTCTTTTTAAAGGTAAAAGGGAGATTGGGGTATAGTAATAAATACTTTGTATTAAAATAGATTTTCATTTATTGATACAAATTTAAGTCAGTTTTGTGATATGTATATTTCTCCTCTTGTTTAAGTATTGTGTTTATACTGATCTTTTAAAACGTAATACACAGTTAAATACAGATTATAGATAGTTACTTATAATAGTCAGAACTTACAGTTAGGTTAGTTAGGTTTTCTAGATATACAAATATGAATTTGAGATGGATAGATATTCTTCAAACCTTTCACAGAACTACAAAATATATGACATTTAAATGGTTTAGGATTTCTCATGATAGTGAGACACAACTGCTCCTGACACACCAGTTATGTCTCAGAGGAAGATGGACATCAAAGAAACTTTGATGGAGTTTACTTTCAACAAGGCAAGATTAGCCATTTGGGCAAGAAACTGCTCTTGCCTAGACTGTTTGACTGTTGCTGTATAACCTACACATTCAAAACCCACAGGAAAGTGACTGATAAACTTGGACAGTCCTTCAGGGTTCCTGCTTCATGGAAGAGTCTACCAGATATTCTACAGGACACAAAAAAGTGATTAACAAACTACCAACACAAACAGTTTAAAATTTCCTGCTTTGCTGAAAAGTTTTCTAAACATGCTGTGGCCTATGGGCTAAAGATGAATGCCCCAACGTAACAGAGGAACTTCGGGTGACTGTCCAGGTAGTGAGATGTCGCTGTTAATTCTAGTGTTTGTATATTATCCTTCTGTGGTCTTTGATGGAGTTAAATACATATAGTTATGATTATATCTTTCTTTAGTTATGATAAAAGATAAGCTACATATAAGATTTTAGACTCGCACATGTAGGATAGATAATAAAATACTTTCCTTAAATCTTATTAATGTTAATGAACTAAATATTATAAATATAGTTCTTATTTGATAACTGTTCTGTTACATATAATTTGACTATATTAAAGTTAAAACATTTCTTTTTATTTAGACAAAAAGAGGAGTTGGTCAGGGAAGTCCTTCTGTGTATATGTAAATAAAGCACTGTTGGCCAGTAGAAAAACAAGATAGGGGGGACTAGGAGTCTA